GTCTGTCCGAGGATTTGCCTCTGATGATGCCTCGGATTTCTCAACCTGAGGCATCTATGCTGGCAGTGAGGAGGGTGTGGTGGAAAGTGACCATGGGACTTGAAGTCAGGGGATTCAGAATTGAGAGAATCCAGACTCAAGTCCAGATTCCAAATTACCAAAAAAAAAACCTGGATTTCTGGCCACACGGCCAGCTAACTTTGTATCCTGTAATTGAATACATTGGCCCAAGGTTTGAGGTTATCAACCTGCATATGGGGCCAATATAAAATCATGGATCCTTACGGTAGCAATTCCAGGACTTCACTTGAATGAAACAGATTATCTACTCTGTCATTGCTCTACATGGACAGGAAAGCTTTGGCTTTGGCCCTGTCAACCAAGAGAGATTCTGTAGAGCAGAGCCTCCAAGCGTATGACTAAGAACAATGATACACCCATAATTAAATACAAAATACATCAAAATATATGAAACTTTTACATCTCTAACACTCAAGTTTCAAGAGGGCAATCAGCTACTTCTTGATTAGAAGAGAACCCTTCTTTGTCCAAATATTATTATAAAACAAATACAGGAACAATAAAACTATCATTGCATATTTTTAATCAAAAGGCTGGTTGCTAGCCTTTCAATTAAAACTCGTGTAACTCCTATCATCATTACAACCCACCAAGGGTCAATTACATCACAATACAGACTGGGCAAAAAGGACTAAAGCAAGCAGTCCACTCCCTTGACAGAAGCCAATAGCGGGGTTCAAGTCAAATGAAATTGAAACCAAAATGTGTTTTAGGCATTTCTTGGAAGCCTTAATTTATAACTCACAATTTGAAGCTTTGAGTAGCTCTAGAGCCACTCATGGGCTCTAAAACTATAGGTCAATGCCTATGATTTCAAGAAGCTTGATTTTTTTTTGATTGAGAAAAAAAATCCGCCTTTTTTCTGTGTCAAGAAAAGGCGTATGACTTGTGTTTTGTTTCCTAACGGTTGTTTTTTCCTACTTCTCTGTTGTTGAGTCCATACCAGCAGATAAAATGTAATTCTGTCCAGCATTTGGACCTTTGTCTTAAAGCTTGTTTTTTTGTTATAAGATGTAGTGGCCTATTTTTAAACAATTCTTACAATGTCCAAGTGAGTTTTAGGTGAAATGCATCCTAAAAAAATCACTCGGATGTCATAAGATTCCTGCTTGGAATTTTTGAGTTGAACTCCGCTAATAACAACGGCAACCAGTCAGAGGTCTAATAAAACTAAAACCCTGGCAAAATAAGATTAGAGGTTTTAGTTAAATACAAGCTATATATCACAAAACATAAGAAAGAATCATCCTATATTTTTACAAATCTAACAAAATGCCACTTTTAAAAAACTCTCTTTGTTAAAAGCATCACCCATTCACTTTTCTCCTCTACACAATAACAAAACCATCTATACATTAGAAAACTCTCTCAGATTTTCCTTTTGCTTTTAAAAACCTTTGTTAAAGTTCAGATCTCTTTCATAAAAAGGACGTTAAAGATTGTTTAAGCTCAGCTCATCCTACTAAAGATCCTTCTATTACCTTTTTGATGAAGTTTGTTGTATTTAATCAATGCTAGAGCATCACACAGTATAACTATATGTCAGTATTGTATGTACCTTGGCAGATCAATGAGTAACTGTACTTAATGATAAACTGGCAGTAGTCCTATTCCGCACCACAGACAGCTACAGCTAACAATTGTAGTTTAAAAGGATTACTTACAAAGAATTGAAAAATCATTTTCCTCAAACCCAAGGGCTGATATTCAGGTTTGATAAAACACATTTTGTAAGTACTGTTCAGCTTGAAACTGTCTGATTTACCACTCACCTGCAGTCTCAAGTTGACAGGCCCGCTACACCAAACTCACCCTTCTCAATTGTATTATTGCTTTTCTCACTACAAAAACTGAAAAAAAATTCTGGGCAGAAAATATAATTATTGATATACAAAAATATTGGAAGGTCGGGAAGAAAGCAAAAGATACACAAAAAGCAGAAATTTTTCCTGGTGGTGAGAACTTTAATCTGAGTAGTTTGTGTATTTTTAGAGTGTACATTAGAGGTATTCAAAAGTTCAGATATGTGTGCCAGAAGTGTCAAGAAGTGACATCCAGAAACTTCTGGGACATCTCCAGATGTTTCTAAGTCTAAGAGCATCCCCAGTGGTGCTTGTATTCTGCGGGCTCTTGACAATACAGGCAATGAAAACCTTAAAAGAAACCGCAGCGGACCACACAAGATGTGAGGGGGGATGTCAAGAGTCTCCACATTTAGGGGGACAATCGAGACTCTCAACATCACGTGCACCCCCAGTACCAGCAGTCAACTAGATATGTCTTTGAGTACAAACAAAAAAAAGACTTCAATCACGGGATTTGTGTAAATGTAAGTGCTCCGCTGTACAGACATACTTTTTTGACCCCCTACATTTGAGAATTATTCTGGGGGTCTGTTTTTGACCTCTTACAATGTCATAGTATCCTACCCACTTGTCCCCCAATCTAAGGAAAGAGGTGGTGCTTCATTTCAAACTTGATTTTGTTGAAGAAACATAGCATTGTGTGTAGGTCATGACTTTTGATTCTGGGTTTGGAGCTGACTTTCCTGTGTTTGGTCTTGGAGGTAATAATAGAAATGAACAAAGTGTTTAGTGTTTAAAATGAATTTTGCAAGAATAGGGAAAACATTTTGTGTATCCACAATTTTTTACTGTTATTTGAATTCACTTTGATTCCTTCCTCTTTGATCTATAAATGCATTGATTATCTGGCTTTTGAGAATTTCATCCAGTAAAGTAAGAAATGGTTAGTATTTCCTATTATCCCACATGTACTAGTAGCACAGTAGGATTCCATTGAGCTTTCTCTCACATGAGTGAGCATTTAGTGTGCTGAAAATTGCTTGCAGTTGAAAAGTTGTGGCAGTCCCACCCTTCTCAAGAACTTCTAAGCCTTTTGCAATAAGTTTAGGATTTGTTTTGAATGTGCTTTTGCCTGGTCTAAAAGGGTAAAGTGTAGTATCAAATCTTTCTTTTGTGTGTCTCTTAAATTTAAGGCCCCCTATACTTGAGGGTAGGCACATGGCTGTATGTTGTGCCAACACAGCTTTGACTGCTAGTTGGTCTGCTAGCTCATTAAGCACCTTGATGACCTACCGTCCAATAAAAACATACATTGGTGTATTCTGGTAATTGTTTTAGTTGAGTTCTGATTTTAATCAGGAGATGGGTGGAGGTTGCCCTAGGGATGTTGGGGCCAGTTCTATAGCCCCTTGATTATTGAAGCTTGCTAGGTGACAACCAAGTGGTTGTAGATTTGGCCACTGTAATGATCCCAGGTGGGAATGATAGGGGACAGGGGCCGGCATCAGAAAACAACACTGGGGATCCCACAGGGCAAGGGCCTGGTTTTGACAAGTGTAGGGCAGGTGCCAGTCACTGTTATCACAAATTCCAAACTTATCAAAGGCCCAAGTAGTCAAGGGAGGGACTTGAGGCTAAAGTCCTACTTTTTGGCTCACAACAGCAGAATTTTTGACCATTTTTCTTTTTTTGCCCAATATGACAATCACAGACCTCATAGAATCAATCATCCAGCCACACTTAGCTTCCTTGACATCTTGTGTTTCCTCTTGGAATCAGATTGTCACTACAGGTAGATTCACTGCTATTTTGATTCTTGGACCTATGTTTTTGGGGTTTCAAGCACACATTGGGGGTCCTGTATTGAACTATATGTTGCAGCTGCAAGTTTTTACAACTCTTCAAGTTCTGAGTGAGTTTAATGAATAGGATAAGTGCTGAAAAATGCACAAGGACATATAGAAGTCTGAAGAGAATACCTCTGGAGCTACATGCGTCATTGTATGATGTCTGTGACTCTCGAGTCTCATAATGGATCATCAAGGAGAAAGGCCTGAAATTGCCGCTGTTGTGAGTTGAAAATTAGGACTTTGGCTGTGAGTCTCTCCCTCAACTACTCGGGCGGGGGGAGTTTGATAAGTTTGGGCCACTTCCGACTGGAACCGTCTTTTTAAGCACATGTTTTTAAGCGTGATCTCACCGAAATTCCTGGCAGGTTTCCAGAAAGACCCGAGGCCGAGGAACTTTACCCCCTGGTGTACATAGCTGGTGAGAAAATTCCCAGGACGTATGTGATACCTTGATATCTATGGAAAGAGATGGAAAAATCATCACTTGCAATCATGGTAGGGAGAGCAGGCATCTCTTGGGATCCAGGCTCATCCATGGCATCGATACGGCGAACTCGGACTCAAGTCTCATTGCAAGAGCGCTGGAGTGAGGATAATGCTTGGTTAAAGGTGGCTCGCTGCCTACCAGTGCCTACCACGCAAAAAGAAGAGAAAAATTGACAAATCTCACAGCAGCTCACAACGGTGCACCTCAAAGAATCATTCCGCGTGAGAGGGTACAGCCCTCTTTTCACAGCGCAGGTTTGGGGTCCCTTCCAAATTTGATTTCTCAGTTACATTTTACTACGAACGTGACATAATGACAAGTTCCAAGAAAAAGTCATTATGTGGTGAACACTCTCTGTGTATGCATTTGAAAGTCCGTCGTCGAGCTTTCAGCTGATCTCACGCACTCGTCGCGACTCAACTGTGAATCAAGTCCCGTTCTGCGAGCAATTGTTCTTCTTGAGAGACTATGCAATTGAGATTAATTCGATTCTGAAGGTCCTTTTCTAAACTGGACAGGCGTGATGACTAGTGTCGAGACTGTCGAAAACCTTTGATTGTCACATCAAATAGATCAAACTATTCAAGCTGACGTACGGGGACCACTGTGAGTGTCGACCAGCTCATAAAAGGAGGCCGAGTCCCCCCCTGCTCCGGCTCCCTCAACCAACCCTGCCTATCGTCGCGTATTTCAGACCCATCAATCGCTCATTTAAAAAATCACTTTACTCACAAAACATCGTAGCTTTTCTTAACTCTTCTTTTCAACTTAGTCAATATGGTTCGCACTTTATTCCTCCGATCTTTAGTTCTCGGCCCCTTGGCTGCTTTGGCAGTGGCACAAAACATGTCCGACTCCATGACCGGAATGAACGCGTCCGACTCCATGAACGGAATGAACGTGACCGACTCCATGACCACCCCGGAAACCGCTTCGGCCATGCCAATGGTCCGTGCCCATTATTGCGCGTCAAGACCTGAGTGATGAAACGTTGATCCCAACGGTGTGCCCTCCAATGCATGTAGGACGTCGACTACACCGGCTACACTGGAGCCTCTGGTAAACCTGTACGTGTATGGTTCTCCAATCCCAGGCGCTTACACAGGCAGCTTACCTAAATTTTTGAGCAGGCCCATCCAGGTATGACCCCTGGTGTGCTATCCCCTGATGGCAAGTGCTGGTGCAGTGCCCGTGAGTGAAACTCTGCATCACTCTACCGTGGTCCGGTAGACAACGAAATGTGGAGCTGAGTGAGCCTTCCATTACAGCACCTGCAGTACCTGCCATGCCTACAGGACACATGCCCTCTGATGTCGCCCCTCCTTCTATGCCCATGGTCCCTGAAAGTACGTGTATTGCACTTGTTCATCATCTTTCTGCCTGGAATTGACATTTTGAGGGATCATCCAGTGCCAGTAGCCAACACTACTATACCCCCTACTGTCCCAGCCACCACCCCCAACACTACTGTTGAGTCCTCGATTCCTTTCAATGTATGCCATGTCACATGCTGATACCATCTGTTTTCATAGGATGACACCACTACCAGCGGTGTGACCTTCCTTAAGGGTTCTTCCAACGCTTGCTTCCTTGCTGCCGCCGCTGTTGTCGGTATCACCACCTTGGCTGCCTAAACGGACGTATATTTCTGTCCTTCAGCTCTATCATTGGGTTCCCTTCGGGTGGCACTTCTTGATTTGATGCTCAACACTTTGGAACACTCTCTATTCGTCTTCGATTGTTGCATGGTTCTTTCAGTTATCTTTAGCTTTAAACAAATAGTCTGCAATATTTGATTCCAATTCCGCTTGTTCTTTGAGCTTCATGATTATTTTGAGTGCCCAGATCACGTTGACATCGCACGAGAGTGAGTCTTGACATTGCGGAGTATGGCCTACCTCCCTACCTCAAAAGTAACTCCCTCACTGCGTTTTGTGAAGCAATGCTCTCGCCCCATGCTCGTGTATTAATCCATACGCGTTGCGAGTTTGATTTGATAATGGGGCGAATACTTTGTAGATGGCAAAAGAGACTCAAACCGCACCCATGTCAAAACATCAGGTACACGAAAGGAAGTCTTCTACATGATCTCCAAGATTCCTCTCATGTTCGTAGAGCTAACCAAGCGCTGCAAGTGGTTGACGTTAGAAACCGAGCGGCTGAGCCTCTCGGTCCGCACAGGTTTGGCGTGCTCTGAGTCTGATGATATCCCTGAAAATAACGAACCAAGACCACCCGCGAACCAAATCAGAACACGAAACCTTAGAGGTTGTAGTTCCTCGTTCCTCCTCATATTTATCAAAAGTGGAAACGTATCAAAGATTTTGCGCCACTTTTTTTCTTGTCATAAAGCAATACTGAAATTCGCTAGATGAAAGTCTACAACATTTACTGTGCATCGATTAGCAATTTACTATACTCCACAGTTTTCGAACAGGTGTGTGGGTTCAGGATGCTGCCACTGGACCTGATTTTAAAAACACTGTGCTCGAGCTGGCTCGAGAATTTCTCATTTGAGTGAGGAGAAAGCTTTACATAATCGATCTGCGTCGTTTGCCCAAGATGGAATGGTGCGGAAGGGGTTCCAGCATTCATGACCGAGGGATGAGGCTCGCCGCTCAGGGTGGTCGGCTATACCGAAAAGCGAGCCCGCTCGTTCAGGCAGTCTCGGGGTCATGTGAGGGCCGGATCACTGACATCAATTTACCCAAGGCCGGGTCAAAAACTTCAACCTTCACCCATAAATTTTGAAATCGCGTCAAACCTTACAAAACTCAACAACCAAGAAAATCAAAATGACGGTAAGCTCAGATTTCCTTTCTTCGATTGTCCCAAGATGTCCATGAAAACAAAGTTACATCCAATTAATCGATCCTTCAATCCATCTGACTATCTCATAGATTCTTACAGACCATCATCATCTTTTCCTACAAGCTATGTTACTTCGACGCGTCGCGCCCTACAAAACATGGGACACGATTTTTAAAAAATGTCGTACTTTAGTAGATCGTAAGTTCTTTTTAAACCAATCTAACTTTAAATTGATTAGAATCTAAAGTCGTTAAGACTCTTTTGTTTTTTTTTTGTTCATCATCTAGCTCGAGATCGAGAACCAGTCTTTGAAACCCTTATACGAGATATCAATCATCGTTTAGAACCTTTAGGATTTCGAATCGCTCAAACTGTTGATGGTGGAATCGGACCAATAGATGAAAGTCAACAAGACCAAGTCTCAGATGAATCAGGTGGAGGTATCTACCCTCGTTCTCAAGGAGAACGTTGGATGGGTCTAGTGAGCACGATCTCCTTTTCTTTTTACAATCATCTGGACTAAAAGCCTTCTTTTCGGTTTTCGGTTTCGGTTTGCATAGATTAATACTAAAGTAGATAATTCAGCAAAACTAGCTACCGAACTTACACCTGCTGAATTGAATTTTTTTAGAAGAGTGATTAGTCGGATTATAAGAGCACCTAATCATCGATATTGTATTTCACTTCATGAAGCCATTCGATCACATACCAAAATTCAAGGAATGAAAAAAGGAGACGCACAAAACGTTTTAGATGTTCTAGTTAAAAAAGGTATAAGTTCTTTTTCAAGATTGTTTTTTCTTCATAAAGAAAAGTCTCTTACTGAATTTGATGTCTATGTTTTTCAGGTTGGTTATCGTATGTAGCAGGGATTTATACTCTATCTATTAGAGCACAATTAGAATTAGATCCATATTTCGAAAAAACCTTTGACCTAGAAGACTTACCACCACAATGTCTTAAATGTAAGAATATAGTCATGAGAGTAAGGAAACTTTTTTTTGGGTTGAATTTTTTTGGGTTTTTTTATTTCATTCCAAATGATTAATTCGGTTTTTTTGGGGTTGATTCAGGGATATAAATGTCCAAAGGATGAATGTCGAGGAGCATTACATGTTCAATGTGAAGCAGTTTGGAAAAGGACTCAAAGTAAATGCTCTGAATGTAAAGGGTAAGTTTTTTTCAAGTAGATAGTATATCTCAAAGTCTGCGATGATCTAATGTTTGATTCAACCTATTTAGGAAATGGTCCAATGAGACTCTTATTGGACAAGATGCACCAGATGGACTGGTGCTTGATACAGAAGAAGAATCAGAGGTAGAAGCCAAGGAAGAAGAAGAGGAAGAAGAAGAAGGAACGCAACAGACTCAAACTCAAACCCAAGCTTCTAAAGGTAAAAGACGTAGTACAGCTTCAAGTCAAAAGAGTCAAAAGAAGAGTCGAAATAGTAGAGCTCCTATACATGATTCTGATGATTCTGATGATGATCGAGGAGAAGGACCGAGTCAACCGCGTAATGGTCGTACTCCTGCTTCACGTCGAAGCTCTCGATATGGTTAACATCTGAATGAGTTGATTCATTTCACCAAGAACAAGTACATTGGTTTGATAACAACAATGGCAATAGCCTGATTTCAAGTCGATTCAATAATCATAAATAAATCTTACTGTGTTTTTTTTACATTTTTTAACATTCCATCATTTACTTACTTGTTTTATTTAACAACATCGGTAAGAATAGTCAAATCGAAATTAAAGTAAATATTGATAAATAAAGAAGAAATGTGTTTATGTTTGTAATTTTGTAGATAAGTTGCTTGTTTTAATGAAGATTTGAGGTCTTTCAAACAAAAAGCTTTCTTAATGACATCTTTTTCAATTGTTCAGTTCCAATCTTTCAAAACAACACGAAACGGGATATAAGCAAGTCAATATGATGCATAAGAAAGACAAAGAAGATGGTAAAATAAGATTTGAAGAGTAGAAGGATGATTCAATTTTTGGGTCGATTACGTAACCAACTGGGTTCAGGACCATTCATGAATCGATTCTTGATTGGTGAAGGATGAAGTTGATTTTGTTGAGTGGTAGCCCAAATCACTTTTCTTGATGGATTGATTGTATTCTGATTGGGGATTGAGATTGAATGATGATAATAATTAGATGAAAGGAAAACAGCTTGATGTTCTAATTGATCTGAATAAGTTTCGATTTCTAAAAGTTTAGATTCAAATCGTTGATGATTTCCTTCTTCTTTACCAATCTTGATCAATTCTTGAATTTCTCTTCTACACAACATAACAATTCGATTCGATTCATTTCATCTCATTTCGTTGCATTTCATTGGTTTCTTGTTTCTTTCTATTTCTTTTTTGGGGGGTTTTGTTTGAAGTCAAAACTCACCTTGCACAATAACCTACGAATCTGATTCTATGTCGATCTGGCATCTTGATGGCTATTCTGATTAATCTTCTATAGATTGAATTGATGATGGGTACCTTTTTTGACCAATTTGAATGACTGCTTGTCATCCTTGACCGATGCCTTGACCGGGCTTGTTGACCTTGAGTCTGCCAAGTTGAGGTCAACAGTTGCAGAACTCGATTCTCATCAATTTGGATGAAGCCATGAGATATTTGATAGTAGCATAATATGTTAGTAGTGAGTGAATGACCTCATTGAAGTCATGTTGGTTTTTTGAGGATTTTGTTTTGGTTTTTGGATTAATTTTTTTGGAATTTGAGTTCTTGACCAATCGATTTACCACTTCAAATCCATGACATCTTCATTCACCTCAACTCATTCTCAACAATTCATCAAGTCTAGTCTCATCATCAACAAAATCAAACATCAATCTTCTTCATCATCAAATCTAAAGATCATCAATTCAATTCAATCTAAACTTCGATCACATTCAAAAAAATCAAATCATCATCAATTCTATACTTCAACCTTATCAAAACATCTCTCAATTCATGCTACAACATATCCATCATCTCCTTCTAGTTCATCAGTGCAGTCTCATCAGCAAAATACCGCTTCTTCCTCTTCCTCATCATCCTCTTCCTGGTGGCAGCAGGTTTGTAGATGGTTTTTCTCGTCTAATTTATTTTGTATCTTAAACTGACACTCAATCTATCTCAGTCCTCCCATCAGTCAGACTATAATGAGTCATATGGAACTTCTCAATCAAACAGCGCTCAATCTCATCTAGTTTCCAGGCCTAATCAACTCTTAAGCCGACAAAAAGCTCAGATCGTCTTTCGTCAACACCTTCGTCATCATCCTGATCCAATCAACACCCTTCTGATCCCACACGAACATGGTGGTCTCCTCTCGATTTGTGATACAATTTGGTCCCATCTTCAACCTGGAGAAAACCTCGAACACGTGATCGAATTACAGAGACTTTCCATTTCGGATCTCTTCCTCTATGCCCAATCCCGTCAAACGCATCTTCAACCTAAACAAGCTCAAAGACTCATCCAAGATATCCTCAAATTACTCATCACTAGCGATCTCTCCCCCAAGATCTTGACCACTCTCGGTCTTGATCCGATCAAAGGATGGAGAAACATGGTTCGAGAACCCGTTCGGATCTTCATGCTCAATCAATTCCTCAAACTCTTAAACTCTCTCGATCTGCCTCCCTCAGACTGGTGGGAATCACAATTTCTATCACTCTCTGAAGCTCAGCTTAATCATTCATTCAATCTTCAGCAACTCGAAAGATTAGGTCTCACAATCATCACTGCACTCTCTAAACAAGGTTCATCCTATCAAGCCTTACGACTCTTTCGAACCCTGCATCTTCTTTTGCCACCTATCCCAAGTCACCCCTTTCTCTCGGATGATGGAGATCCTTCAAACCCAACATCTTCAATCTGTAAAGCTGCCACTGGTCTCATTCTTGCTGAAGCGCTCTTTGCTAAGAAACGGATTGACGAAGCCGATGAAGTCATACGTAAACTACCACGCAATTCTTCTCACGGCTTAATCCATCAGAGATATCTTCTGACTGCGTTATCAATTAAATCGGTCATTGGTGATCTTGAAGCTGTCGACTTACTTGGAAAGGATTACATGAAAGTATGGAATGCTGAGGATTTGAGAGAAGTCAATGCTCGAAATCAACGTCGAAGGACACTTCAACGTCAACCTGCTTCACTTACCTATGCACGAGCCAGAATTCAAGCCCTAAGCGTGAATGGAAAGCTGAATGAAGCAGAAGAACTTTTCAGACTCACGATTGAACAGACTGATAAACTTCAATCCTTGACGTCGTTTCATGAATATGGTCTAGCCGATCTTTATGCAGAGATGATGAAAGCTCATGTTGAAGTAGATGGTTTAGAAGCAGCACACGTTCTACTAGACGAATTGCTTTTGAACCGACCTCGGATAGTGGATCAAAGGCATTTCAACCTCCTACTTCAAGGTTATGCTACTCGAACAGATCTATCGGGTTGTATCAAGATACTGGAAGAGATGATTCAGAGAAAGGTTTCAGCGGATTTACATCTATATGGAAATCTATGTTTGATGTTTTCAAACGTTCATGAACCTGCCTCAGTCTTGAGAGTGATTGAGATCGTGATGGAAAGAGGATGGGCTCCGAGTCGAGAGTTGTGGAACATCTTACTGGATTGTTACGTCGAAGGCGGTGATTGGTTGAGAGCATCTAAATTATTGGCTTTCGTTGAATCCGAGGATCGGAGGAGACAGAAAGAACCAGATGCTGTGACGAAGGGAATTGTATTGAAGGCTCTAGTCTTGTCAGGTGCACCGACTGATGAAGTGGTTGAAACTTTCAAAGCAATGTATAACGAACGTACAGGTGGTGGTTTAGCTGATACACGAGCTTATACACTCTTACTGCAATCTGTTTGTGATTCAGGTATGATGGACTTGGCAGAAGCTATCTTTTTCAGTCTGAAAGAACACGCCCCTGCAGGAGTGGAGCCCAATGTATTTATGTATGGTATCATGATCTGTGCTTTCTTGAGGCTGGGGAAGAAGTCATTGGCTCAATTTTATTTTCAAGATATGCGACAATACGGACTCCGGCCTAATTCAATCATCTATTCGATGATCACTGCTGCTTATGCTCGATCATCTGGCTCACCTACACCTTCTCCCAACACGCCTCTCGATGATACCTCCCAGACCACCCCAACTCTAGATGAGGAGCCGGCAAGTGGACTAGCAAAGGATGGCGTCAGTCTAGCACGAGAGATGGTAGAAAAATTTAAGCGAGAGATGGCGGCTGATGGACTGTCACTCGAAACTGAGCAAGACACCAAGCTAGGCGAGACCCAAGATCTCGGACTGACCCGATCATCACCTCAATCACATCGACGTCGTAGGCGATTAGTAGCTTATGACATGCCATCTGTTCGTCAACAAGCTTCACATCGTCTTCTTGCACCTATCATTCAATCTTATGTGAAATTAGCTAGACCAGCTAAAGCTTTAGAAGTAGTTAAAGAGTTGGTGGAAAGTCTTGAAAATGAAACAAAAGGATCTCGTAAGAAAGGCAGAGGATTGATTGAGTTGGATGTATATACGATGTTATTAGATGGCTATAGACGAGCAAATGATCCGATGGGAGTGATGGAGATCTGGGAAAGGATCTTTAAAGAGGCCAAAGCAACAAGTGAAGATGATCGGCTTAGGTCAATACTGATGGAGAAGACTTTGAAGTTATCGGGACTTGTTCCATCGATCATCCAAAGTGGCAAAGGAGAAAATCCGAGTCAAACGAAGAGTTACAAGCTTTGTTTACCTTTATCAATTTATACTGATTCGCTCTCGAGTCATGGATTTCATCAAGAGTTGAGATCAACTTGGGAATCGGTTCAAGAAGCTGGTTTTGCATTTGATCCTGCTAACTTTAATCATCTTTGTTTGGCAAGTTTCAAATCAGGAAACCCTAGATTAGCTTGGGAGATTGTAGAGTATGTTTTATTGATAGATGAACAGGGTGAAGGAGGAGGAGAAGTTGAGAGTTTAGTAAAAGAAGAAGAAAAGCAAGAATTTGGAGGATGGTCAAATGAAAGTTCTTCAAGAGATCATTGGCCCAATTTTTTACGTGCTAGTGTGAGTAGAAGAAGAGCGATGAAACCATTGCCTATCTCATCATCATCATCATCATCATCATCATTTTTTAAAGGAAGTGGGATTGAAGAAACAGGACTTGTAAGAGCAGATGAAACTGATGGACCAGTTAGACCACCTAATCGAACGTCTTTACGTAAAACACAAAGATTTGATGATCAACTTGCCACACGAAGTTCATTAGAAAGTTTATTAAATTCGTTAAGATCCACTAGTATGATAGAAAATCCAATCCAATCCACTTCATCAAATGAAATGGAATATGAAACTAGAATTCAATCCAATCAACCGATCATGAATCCAAAACAAAGATGGAGTTTTCAAATCTTATCGATTGGAAAAGCAAGAAAAAGTTTAAATTGGAAACCATATGAAAAGATTTTAAGAAGATTACATGGATCGATGTGGAGAGAATGTTCAGAAGAGATCATCAAAGGAAACCAAAGCGATGAAAACATTCAAGAGATTGTTAATGGATATTTAAAAAAGTATCCCAAGACTATGAAATCAGTTTTGGTTTATGCATTAGGTGAAAGAGGTATCAAGAATTTAATGATCAAGAGTGAAAGGAAAAATCGTGTTGATCATCAAGATGCTTGGTTAGAATTGGCTATTGAGGATTTGGTACATAGAGTGATTGGTAGAACTAAAGAGAGGATTAGAGGGATTCGTAATTCTAGGTTTGAGATTGATGATCATGATGATGATGAAGTGATTCAAGGAATTAATGATTGATTGGATTGCAGTTTTGATTTTGGATGTGTATGGGTTTTGTTTTGTTTTTGAGTGAGAGTTTAGATTGAGGTTTTAAGTTTAGGTGAGTTAATTGAGAGTTTGAAGAGAGAAATGTTGAGATTTTGGAGAATTGATTTTTTGAACTTTTTGGTTTTTTTTTTTGATTTAGAAAACCAACTTGATGAGAATTTTGTTGATCAGAATTTGTTTGTGAGATTTGAAAAACGTGATCAAATAGAATCGTGCAGCTCGTTCACTGGCCCAGTCTCCTCGTGACATCTCGAGATAATTTCGAGCCAAAGTGAAAGCTGAGCTGTGTGAGTCGAGAATGGCATCTTGATACATATCAAGTCTCGAGGGGATATGCAGGTACTTGTTTGTATCTCTGAGAAATCAAAGGTAGAAGATCGAGTTGAGAAGCTTTGATGGAGAATGAATGCCTTGATGATAGTATGTACGAAGATGGTGCGCGAGTCTCACAGTTTAAAATCATCAATCAGGTTAAAATACATCTCTCGAGTCTACGCACTATTAGTATAGTCAATCATGATTCATGCCAACACCAAATGTCTTGCTGGTCTGCCAAGCAATTGTCGACTTCATGCAACAGTCTTAGTATCTTTGATGGAGCTTGGAAAAACAATTATAGAGGACTGAGACTTTGAGGAGAAAGGCGCATACATTTGATTATGAAAAGAGTGTGAATGAGCCAGTAGATCACCTTGATAGATTTTTCTAAGCCAAAGTTCACCCATCTACTTTGTCTCCTTTGAGCTTTACTGTGATGAGTTGACCTGAATTTGCAGCCCAAAAGTATCTCTCATAGGTTGTGCTGCGGTCGACTTGCTTGTGAGAGGTTGATTGGGAAACAGACTGTCCAGAACATGGCTAATAACATTTTTGGAGTGTATGAAAATAAGTATGTATACCAATATAACACTTCTGTGGATGATGTCGCGTTGTAATCATCTTTCTTGGTGAGACGCTGGATTGAAGATTTAAAGATGTCACACGGGAATGAAAGTACTTCGAGCCCAGGTATGAGGTTGGCTTATGTGGTGTGTGCATGAAGTTAGAACTTGCTTTAACTCAGTCTGTACCAGATCTTTACCCTTTCATGAATTGATCATGGATTTCATGCACTGAATCCATTAAATGGTCTTATAAAAGGATCACAAAAGGTTTATCAGAGTAGTCATATTACATGCAGTGCAGTTTTTATTAAGAGTAGAAGGAGAAGTCACATGATAATCAAGAGTAACTGAAGTGAATTAAGATGCAACAAGAGAGTAAGAAAGTTTACAGAGTAAACATGTGAGACAAAAATGATAGCTTCACTGCACATTCTTTGATCATATGTGTCCTCATACACATTGATGTAACCTGGAACATGAAAGGCAGTCAGAAAAGGAAAGCTGAACCGAGTTCAAAGAAGACACATTTCATGGGTTCTGTTTTGATGTTATTGATATGATGAATTGCATTTGATTTGTGTAGTCCAAGTATTGGTATCCCCAGGTTTTTTCACTGTGTGATTGCAATGAGATGATTGGGATCAGGTGGTGTTCTTTCCTGAATAGTCTTGGTTCTGATTAGATCTATTCTTCATGGAGTCATCATGATCTTTTCATTAGGACCATGATGAACTGGAGGTGAATCTGATTCTGGAAGTTCATTCAGGTCAAACAGATAAGCCTTCTCAATGTGCAAGTTGTGAAGTCTTTGGGGAGGCAATTGATCCATTTCTGGTGGAAGTGATCTGTGGGAATTTTTATTTGGGTCTAAAGTTTATGTTTCAGTTTAGTGAAGTCCAAAAGAAAAATCATATAAGAAACTCACCTAATGCTGCAGGACTGGAGCCTGCGGTAGAATAAAATCCTGGATTATCTGGGCTGAAATTTGTTTGTGTTGTGATAGGTTGTCTTAAAGTTAGATATCTTCTCTTGTATCTGTGTTTTTGTTGGGGACTTACTTGATAGAAGATGGTATTTCTATAATTTCTGGTGACTCATCATCTAGAACATTAAAAGTCTTTGTCCTAGACTTTTTTGGCCATCCTTTATCAAAGAAGCCTTTCTCATTGAAACCTTTCCTTTTTTCTGAAGACTTCTTGGTTTTGGAGAATGTTGTACTTGGATAAGGTTGAGAATAACCTGAATCCTGCTGGTCTTTTAATGATTTACAAGAAGTTATGTCCCTTTGATTGTTTGACAATCCATCTGACAACATTGTATATTCATTGAGATTTGGTGTTCCAAAGAATTGAGTCTTCTTTGGAGCAACTCTTTTTGACTCAACATTTTTCCCTACTGTTGATTTCCCTGTATTATTTGTTTTTTCTGATTTATTCAATAAGAAAGCCCCATGTAGTTCACCATTAGAGTGTAGCTCTTTCAAATGATTAAAAGCTTTTCTTTTGAAAGTATTGTATTGATCAGCCATTGAATCCTGGCCTCTGGAGAAATCTTTGGCACTGTCAAAAACAATTTCAGCCAACTGAGACTTTCTGTCAGTTTCAATAACATAGCTTTGCTTCCGACTAGGGATGATTTTGGAAGTGACAGGATTCCTTTCTTGAACACCTTTTTTTGAATGCAGAGCCAGGCCCATTTGATTGTAGAAATCATTAAGCTTATCAGATGCAAGAAGATGCTCTTGATAGACTTGTCCAAGCTCAAAATTCAGCCATCTCCACCGCATTGCTTGATCTTTACCGTAATGATTTGACTTGAATTTGGCCAAAGACCAATGGTATCTCATTGATTGTGCTGTAGTCAGTTTTTCTTCAAGAGGTTTATTGGGGAAAAGACTCTTCAAAACATGGCTGAGCACATTTCCAGTCCTTCTGATGAAGAGGTAGAACATAACACTGTTGTTTATAACTCCTTTTTGTTCCTTGTAGTCACCTTTCTTCACAATGAACTTGATTGAGGTTGTGAATATTTCACACAGGATTGAAAGTACTTCTGGATCATCTTCATCAAGGTTTGATACTAAATCAATTGCTCTAGACATATGCTTCACTGCCAGGTTGTAGGTCAGTATGTTGTCTTGTTTGGCTTCCTGAAATGACCCCAAGTTTTCTACTCCTTCAAGCTTCTGTGAGACCTTGTAATCCTCAGCTAGAACTTCTTCTGTAATCATGCCAAGCTGATTTGATATCTTGCGGTCATTTTCACCAAGGATAAACCAAAGCTTGTGAACTTTTTCACTGAACTCAGTGGATTTGTGGCCATATGTTTTCAAGGGATCTTCAAAAAATGGAACTGGAGACCATGGATGTCCATTCCAAGGGGTTCTGTTGATTAGGTGCCTATGTATATCAATTGCACTACCTGTATGATCATTAAGAATTTTTGTTTCTTTCATTTTTTGTGACTGAATTTTAGCAAGATTGCAAATCAAATTCTGATGTTTTAAACCATCATCCACCAAGATTTCAAAGATTTCAAACATATGCATATAATCCCTGTAATAGGCACCATATTGTAATTGATCATTCATTTTGAATTGATATGAGATCAGATGTTTTTCAAGTGAGTGATTTGAGCCATACTCCAGGGTCATTGACTTCTGGAAATTCTCAAGTAATATGTGCCATCCAATTTTTGAGATAGCATAGTCAACAAATGGTGCAACTATTTTCCTTATTATGCGTGGATCTTTATTCTTTGACAATTGATTGAGTTTGTTTGACAATTCTGCTTCCAGAAGATCCAGCTTTAGCTGTTCTTTTGTTTTAGAGTGGCCTTTCATCAGGATCAGGATGAGTTGATGAACAAGTCTTTCTAAAGGAGACTTTATGTTCACGTTCACTTCGGTAATGCTACTTTCAATTTGTGAATTTTCAGTCATCCAAGAAGGGCAGTCTTTCAAGATGGGACCTATGTAATAGTTCAATCTTTTCCCAAACATCGTGCTATCTCTGTTTTGCTTGACTACTTCTTCAATTGTTCTTATGTCCCTCCAAGTTTCAAGGTTCTCATCCTGTAACATGATTTTCTCTATTGGGCCAATTCCCCGCCCAAATTCTTTCACTTGAGATCATGAGATGAAAATCCTATCAGTTATTATTCAGAAATTGATCTTCAAAAAACTTGAAAATAAGCTGACCATTTTCTATTGCAGGTGATGCCGTTTCCAGTTGACTCATTCCAGGATGGACTGGACCTCCGGGTAACAATTTGACTGAGACGACTGAGTGTATAAAAGACATGATAACCACAATAGTAAGCATTTTGGCTGAAAAGATATTTGTGTAGGGCAAGCCGGCAAAATTGATGATGAAAAGTAGATCAGACGTGAATGCAAAATCCTGGCTTCTTGGTTAAAGAATATTTAATGCAAAGATACAGGTCATCGTATATATATAGTTTTGATTCATATGCAACTGATCACGTACCACGAAGGAGGAAACATGTAGCCAACAGATACACCGGCCTGATCTCAAACTGCAACATGCAGCATTTGTTGAACCAGAAATCCTTGAGGGTGATCGCACCGCAGCGGTCAAGTTACATAGATGTTTGCCAATGATTGTTTCACAGCACAGACGATTGAATGTTTTCACATCAACTGCAGCGCTCTGCGTAACTAGTCTTTGCTGGACATCCTCTACTAAATAGAGGTCTTCCAACGCACCACCTAGTTTGAGCATGAGTTTAGATTGTTAAAACTGATATACCTTAAAACATGAAATAAGCTAGGATATGATTTGAGGATGTATCGAATTTATGATGCCAAGTCATGTTACACCAGCTGTTTGATTGTGATCCTTTTGGTCATTGAAAGCATCGAGATACAGGTAATGTTGTGAGCTATGCACTTTTGTAGACGCAGAAAAACAAACTATTCATCTCCTGCTCAGCATAAGGACCAACTGCAATCCGGCGTGGTCCAAGAAGGTCGACCCGGTCACCGCACCTTTCTTCAATCGAGGCTGGCACTTGATGATTACCGCGGTGTGATTCGTGAAAGCCTTCCAACTAAACTTATCAAAGTCCCATCTCACGACTACTCGTGAGGGAGGGACTTTGAGGAGCTTAGGCTATGTTGTATGTAAATTTTGTTGATCTGTCTCGAAATCCGATGATTATTTGCCGCAGCTCGAGTTGCATGTCGAGTTATTTCTCCTCTGTCTCGCTGTAGGCCCATCAATTGCTTGCAGATAGACTCTTGATCCATCAGCTCGAAAAAACTTCGTTAGTGCGGCATTCCTAAAGTTACACCGCCCACCCCGGTGTAAAGCACACCTGTCGTAAACTACGAAAAAAGGGCCCGATTCTTGAATTTTACACTGGTTTCGTGTCTTTTTGGTCCGTGTAAAAAGTCACTGTATAGAAATGTCTGCCGGCGTGATTTACATCGGAACTTTACACAGAAAGTTGATGTAGGAAATCCCAGCGTTAAAGTCAAGACTTGCCTCCAAAAGATCAATTAACACAGGCTGCATTTACACCGACAATTTCTGTCATGTGAGATTACCCTGCGTAAAATTGCATCCCAACACATACAAAGCGCAATTTCAGACCGCCGCAAAAAACTCTAACACCGACTTTCAAAAAACAGAACAAAGAGAGAAAGAAAAAAAGGAACAAAAGATATTAAATGATATTGTAAGAGATTAAATGACATTTAATAATAGGAAAACTTTTCACAGGAAGCCTGAACGAGTAGCGAAATTTTTTATCTGGTAACCTGAGTGAGTCGTGTTCTGGTGCAATCAAAGTCTTAGCTAGGTGATCAGCTCTTAACTTCCTTATTGAGACTTACTGACGACCATGACTTGATGATTTATAAGAGTTCGTAGCGCGATGGTTGATCAGATTTCCTTTTTCATGAAACAAGGTAAAATTCGTACAAAGTAAAGAAACCGAATGCCTTATCTGAGATAGAAGTCAAGGTTGAGGTTCGGTTGTCAAAACAGTTCAACTCACAGTAGTCGCGGTCTTGGTGTCAAAATTTAGTGTCTGAATTAATGGGATGTATCAAATTACATAAATGGATATGAAGGGCAATCTTGGATTAACAAAAGTTTAGCAGACAAATAATACAAAAAACACGTGAACAAGTAATGAAACAATCTCATTTGAACTTATAAAAAGGCATACAGACATCTACTGGCAAAGATCGAGGAATGCAAAGAAAACGTGCAGGGAAATGAGCACTAGAAATTACTGAAGTGATAAGAAAAGAATAACTCTAAGTAAATATTCTTCATCTCAAATTAGTCCTAACACTCAATCAATTAAATAGCGCTTGAACGCCAGCTGGAATGAATTGACGACGTTTCAATTTTTCATCAGTATGATCAGGGTGAGCATATCCCTCCTTGTCATTCGGAGCTGATTCAACATCACCTACGGAATATGAAGAACAGGCAAGATGGTGAACATCTGTGGGATGGAATCTCCGAATCAGAGTGTAGAAAATGCTTACCCTCGTTATGCTGAGATTGATGAGTATATCCACTCGATCCTTCAGGATGGGTCGAGCCTTGACGATTGGTAGTAGGACGGTCTTGGTTTTGTGTGTCGCCCGTCATTTGGTCCGGGTTTGGTGACTGGCCAGTTGTCTCAGAATCAAAGTTACCCTTGGTAGAGTTTGAAGGCATGGTAGAGTTTGAAGGCGCGGTAGAGTTTGAAGGCGTGGTAGAGTTTGAAGCCAGGGTAGAGTTTGAAGCCGCGGTAGAGTTAGGAGCCGCTTTGGAGTTGGAATCCGGTGATGTTGTCCCAGAGGTGGAAGAGTTGGAGGTCTGACCAGATGAAGAGTCGGAAGGTGAGTTCGAAGCGCTCGGTTGACCTCCCGAAGAACCTCCAAGGATGTTACCGATCAAGGACGATGGGCCGGAGTTTGATGGGCTGGGTGTTCCAGAGTTTTGATTTGATGCGGTATTACCATCAGGTGATTTGTTGTTGTTCATAGTCTCCGACTGAGAAGGATGAGATGAAGCGTCAGTGCTATTCGAGTTTTGGCGATTTTGAGAGTTAGGCGAGGTTTCAGAAGGCATTTGATCGGATCCGGAACTTGGGGTGGACTGAGCTGCGTTCCCGTTGTTTCCTCCATGTGATTGACGAGAGGAACTGTACCCATCTTGTCCAGAACTACCACCCCTTGAATATCCGCCAGTATTTTGATATCCATCCATAGCTTGACTGTGATCATCAGATCGACGGAAAATGCCCTTGACACCATCAGGGATAAATTGCTCGGCGAATCCAGGAATGAATTGGCTTCCCCCGTTGTTCTCATGATCGCCACCTTGTTGATGATGACCGTTGTACCCTTGATGTTGGTTGTTGCCGTTGGAGTTTCCATCAGTGTAAGACTGGCGTTGGTTTTGATCATTCATGTTTCCACCTTGATTCCCATTAAAAGACGGCGATTGTTGTCGTCCTGAAGATGCGCCATTGGACGGAGAACCTTGGGCTTGACCTGAGTTTGATTGTCGCAAGTTTGAGCCGCTTGTACCACTGTAGGGTTGGGAAGACTGTTGACCGTTTTGAGTACCTTGTGCGCCTTGTGCGCCTTGAGCATTTTGATTGCCTTGACCGTTTTGACCTTGAGCATTTTGATTACCTTGACCATTTTGAATATTCTGGCCATTTCGAGGAGCTTGACCGTTCTGAGCATTCTGACCATTTTGAGAACCTTGACCATTCTGACCATCTCGAGCAATTTGGCCATTCTGACCATTTTGACCAGCAGAACTACCATAGGAAAATCCTCCTCCGTACTGATGACCATCCATGTCATGACCTTCAACGTACTCACCGTCAGATCGACGAAGAATATGCTTCACGCCATCGGGTATAAACTGTTGCGCAAAAGGCGGAATAAAGCCGGCTCCGTTTGAGTCAGACTGCGAGTTGGGGTTGTTGTACTGAGATTGATCTTGGTACTGATTATATTGGTCACGTCTAATGATATGCTTGACTCCTTCAGGAATGAATTGCGCGGCAAAGGGTGGGATGAATCCGGCTCCGCCTTGTTGTTGAGAACTGTATGAGTCAGACTGCGAGTTGGGGTTGTTGTATTGTGATTGATCTTGGTACTGATTATATTGGTCACGTCTGATGATATGCTTAACTCCTTCAGGAATGAATTGCGCGGCAAAGGGTGGGATGAATCCGGCTCCGCCTTGTTGTTGAGAACTGTATGAGTCAGACTGCGAGTTGGGGTTGTTGTATTGTGATTGATCTTGGTACTGATTATATTGGTCACGTCTGATGATATGCTTAACTCCTTCAGGAATGAATTGCTCGGCAAAGGGTGGGATGAAGCCGGCTCCTCCTTGTTGTTGAGAATTGTATGAGTCAGACTGCGAGTTGGGGTTGTTGTACTGAGATTGATCTTGGTACTGATTATATTGGTCACGTCTAATGATATGCTTGACTCCTTCAGGAATGAATTGCGCGGCAAAGGGTGGGATGAAGCCAGCTCCGCCTTGTTGTTGAGAATTGTATGAGTCAGACTGCGAGTTGGGGTTGTTGTACTGAGATTGATCTTGGTACTGATTATATTGGTCACGTCTAATGATATGCTTGACTCCTTCAGGAATGAATTGCGCGGCAAAGGGTGGGATGAATCCGGCTCCGCCTTGTTGTTGAGAATTGTATGAGTCAGATTGCGAGTTGGGGTTGTTGTACTGAGATTGATCTTGGTACTGATTATATTGGTCACGTCTGATGATATGCTTGACTCCTTCAGGAATGAATTGCTCGGCAAATGGTGGGATGAAGCCAGCTCCGCCTTGTTGTTGGGAATTGTATGAGTCAGACTGCGAGTTGGGGTTGTTATACTGAGATTGATCTTGGTACTGATTGCCTTCATCATATGAACGTCTGAGAATATGTTTGACTCCTTCAGGGATGAATTGCTCCGCAAAGGGGGGGATAAACCCGGCTCCGTTTTGTTGTTGCTGTTGGCCGCCTTGGTACTGGCCAGTTTGATGGTTAGAGTTAGATCCATAGTTGGAACGATAGTTGTTGTCAGATTGCTGATAGTTGTTCTGATTGTTGTATTGCTGATCATCCGAACGGCGGCCAAAAGGCGAACTACCTGCACCGGAGTGTGAACCACCAGAAAGTCCGGGAAGGCCACCCAATAGGCTAGGAATGCCGCCAGAGAGGCCAGGGATGCCGCCAGAGAGGCCAGGGATACCGCCAGAAAGGCCGGGAATACTATCCAGCCCGGGGATTCCACTGCGAGCATTCATCTGGTGGTAGCCCATGCCCGCCATGGATTGCCAGTGGAAATCATCAAGCGCACAAGCAACCTAGAAGATAGTATAAATATATAAGTCATACGCCAGAAGAAGATTATTATAAGCACAAGTGTATCTCACATCAACAACTTGGTCGCCCTCATCAGCAACCAAAAATTCCATGACAATCTTTTTGTCCATAAAGCTAGACATATCAATAGCGCGCTGGTTGAGACCGCTAGACTTCAACGTCTGAGTCGAGTTTCCTTGGGTTGAGTTTCCTATCGTATGATCGGAATTGATAGTTTCATTGATCATAAGCTGTGCTTGTGTCATGTTGCCAGGAGTACCGATATAGACTAAGAACGAGTCGGCGTAAGGCGAGTGGTCCAAACCGATTCTGTCATTGTACATGAAAAGAAGAGTGGTCAGCTCTATCTGCCAAACAGGATGGATGAAGCATTGAACATACATTTGATCAGTCCATGCGAGAATTACAGGCGTCCCGTTCAACTTCTTGGAATCAAGGTTGAAGGAGATCGAAAATCCTCCTCGGTCAAATAGCATGGTTCCAGGCTTACTGTCGTAGGTCTCTTTGCTGATCCCGTCGTTGGAGGTAACGAAGCCAGAAGATGGCGAGTCAAAGAAAGTCTTGGTGCGACTGTCACCAGACTTGATTTGCACATAATTAGGGCCTTCGATAGGAAACCTGATGATATACGCGGTTGACAAGAGATAATTGTCAGTTAATGTGAAAAAGGTAAAGCCGAAAACCGAATGATCATACCCAAAATTGTGCGAGTCGAGCACTTTTGTTTGAACGGGACTCCCAATCACACTAACATCATCAATCAGGGACTTGAAGACTGCTTGTTGATCCGATCGGACAGCAGATCCAATGAAAGCGTTTGCACCAAATCGACGTCTGTCGTTGGCTGCATAAGTGGCCGAGTCTCCGATCATGTCAGGAGCAGGGCGGGTGGAATTCGCTGTTTTCGTAGTATTCGAGTGGCTCGAGTCTGATGAATTGGCGGCGCTGTATCCACTATCGGGTGCCTTACAGATCGCAGAGGATAGCAACGCTACCACTGCCAACGGCACAATCGGAGAATTCAACATCTTGGAGGTTTGACCACGGAAGAAGTAATACCGGTTGTTTTCTCGACAAAAACGAGCTCGCAATGAAAGCGGTAAAATAAGGTAGAACAACGCGTAGACAAGTTGGTTTGTGTGGATAGATAGCTATCTGGAAGATCTGAAAGAGGTGATGAAGACGGTGAAGACAAAGGAACTGTGGTCGCTGAAGTCTGAGGATGATGACAGAGAGAGAGAGGAAAGAGCTCTTCTTATATGCAATAAACCCAACAGCTCAAAGAGGTTTGTACCCAATATCGTGAATGATGCGAAAATCACCACTGTCTTGCTGACAACAAACCAAGACACGATCAAGTTTGAAGGGCATCTGGACCTGGGATAGAGAAAAAGGTCAATGTGCATCACCCGTCGCGGTTCCCAGGTAGTGATCGGTTGATATCTCCTGCAAATCAAAGCAAGTCCTGAGTCCCTCAAAGTTTCAAATTTCGCTGATTTTGCTTATCCGAAGCTGGGCTGTGGAAAACAAGTGAGTTATTTAGCGCACCGTGGCAGTCATGTCGGACTCAAAAATAAATTCAATACGTACAGCCCTTTGCAGAATTGATGACTTTGGAGAAAAAAAAACCTCGAGTTTTCAAAAAAGAAACCTTGAGTTTTGTCAAAAAGTGACCGAGTTTTTTCAAAAACTGGGCAAGAACTTGGTTCAATTGATCGATATAACACTCACGAACAAGAGCTCGCTCAGTTTTTGAAAAACTCGATGAGTTTTTGAAAAACTCGATGAGTTTTTGAAAAAAACTCGCAGGTTTTTTTTGAAAACTCAAGTGTTTTTTCTTTTTCCAAAGTCATCAATTCTGCAAAGGGCTGTATCATATCCTACCATGCTCCTTCATAGGCTATCTCTTGGGTTATCGCAGGCTAAGCTTTGTGGTACGCGACGCGAATAATCGTGGTTTGCGGAAATTTACAATTTTTGTACACTCAGGCTGGTCCAATCTCGTCCAGTCAGATTTGACAGGGAAATATTATCACGAGAACATCCATTTGCATTACGTTCGGACACGGTGCAAGAACCAGGAGTGTAATATCAGCACTGAGCTTTGAGATGCCCAAGCCTTTGGATGGTTTTTTGGGCTTGTTGGCGCGTCGATTTACCATTCGAACCTGAAGGAAAACAGCACATCCCGCGAGAGGCAAGACCCGTCTGAGTAGACATCGCCATTGAAGACACAGGTAGATCTCACCTGATGAGGGTACGACAGCGTCTGTGGGCACTGAGGTCTGAAAGACACACGGACATCCAGACGAAAGGTGTGACAAACAATTGAAAGTCAAAGTGACTAGATGTGAAGCTTACTCGTGACCGAGTTGCCTTTGTCGACTATTCTCTGGAATTGTTTTTTCGACATGTGCTATTCAATATATTATCACAAGTAGAAGATACAATTCTCCTCATGGCAATGCTCTGGAAAAACACGAGCAACACTGTTCCAAGTAATCTCTGGTGAGCAAGCAGAGCATCAGAACCAATTCTGTGATAACATCAACCATACATCAATGACAATTCTATAAAGCCACTAAAAATTGACTGACTGATTACAGAAGTTCTTGAAAAAATTTCGTTCAGACAATTGTTTAGGAATAATCAACAATGCCTTTTAATTTTACTGTCTCTATTTTTTCAGTAAAAAGCACGATGATGCGGCAGCTGGGCACCCAATTCCCAGTATATGTTAAGCTAAACTTTTTTGTGAACAGTCTAGATGTGATGAGACCCTGACCACGCTGACAAATAAATGACTTGGCAAGATCGAAACAGCAGCATTAACCTCAAAATATACTTCCTCCAGGTCTGATTTGTACTCTTATGAGACAGTCTACGGAAATCTTGATTGTCGTAGGTCATTACAAATTCTTCTGCTATTTACAACTTTTAAATAAATCAAGTGAAATGAGACATAGACAACTAAGTGGATAAAGCTGCAGATCAGAGCACAATTTTACTTCATAGGGATCGATAAGATCCTTGCTAAGAACCAAGAAAATATGAGCTCTCAGTATGTTTTTTTCAATGTTGACACATTGACACTCTATGACTGACACCGGCTTAGGTGCGGAGCAAAAAATGCATACACTAATTCCATTTTGAGCTTTCTGGATCATGCTTTGCCATAAAGATCTTGTTATTTTTGAGCAAACTTCTTCGGTTCAAGAGTTCTGCTGGTATTTAATTCATAAGCTAAGATCTCTAGGCGATTGCACGGAACTAATAACAACGGCAAAGGTCACAAGGGTATCTACTGGTATCTCGCCTTGTCGATTTTCTAGCCAGTTGTGTCGCAGATGGCGTCAATGATGTGAGACGATCATCTAGCGCATCAATTGTCATCAAACTTCTATCCAATGCTACAGGCAGGCGCAGGAGTTATTTTGAGTATTGCGTAGTTGATGGTCAGAGCGAGAGATGAAGTGGACATACCTACTTATCGGAAACTGAACTAGATGATTTCGGTTTGATGGGTTCAAGCAAACCCGAGATCAAGTCATCTTTCTACTTTCGTTCCTCAACCTGTTCCAACGGGTCACATAAGATTGTTCCCCGATCATTAGCGTCATCGAGATCCAAAGAAGTACAGATTTGACGTTCTCACCATGATAATATGATACCTATCAAAGTAATTATGAGGTCAGGATAAGATATCTCGTGTCGCTGTGGTTGGAAAGATTGCTTACCCAAAGTTTGTCTTTACCGGTGGATCGGTATAGGTAGGCGAGGCAACCGTGGATGGAGTCAAGAGAAAAGCTGCTTCCTGAAACGGACCAACCATGGAACCACTGCACAAAAAAATTCACCTGGTCGATCAGGCTCTACACATAACATGGTCCGTATAGCTGAAGCCAAGCTACTTACCGAGTCATCCAGCCCAAAGAGCCACCATTTCGAGCTTTATCTTCGCTCAGCTCTGCGGCCACTTTGTCGAACCCAACGCCAGCCTTCAGGCGCGCGATCGCTTCTAGGGCTGTAGATTGTTTTGAGCACAAAATATGGCGGACCTACCGAGTTCATTTTTAATCGATACATACCAAAAACGGCTTTCAGCATTGATCAAAGTTTTTCGCACTCACTTTGAGACTATTGGCTGGCTTCAACTTGGTACCCTCTGTGGCAGGAAATGATCAGCATTCGATATATTTTATGCTTCCCTAGCCGATCTTGGGTTAGGGCTGACCTGATCCAGCATCCTTCTTCTTTGATCCTCCAGTCTGCTTTGACGAAGGGGCCATGTTGTAAAATATGTTCAAGTGATGATAAGAGTCGTCGACACTGATCAGTTGTGCGGACCAATCCGGTGCAAGAGAGTGAAGACCCGGTCCGGATAGAGTCCGATCGGGCCGAGTGGTAGCCGGGACCTACTCAAGCCGAAGCGCTCTCTTTTGACTTCAGTCTTCAGCTCGCCGCCCTGAGCCGTCTCCTGAATCAACCTCTCATGCGGTCAAAGTAGGCCATATTCTGATGTTTCTGTGGATGTAACATACCCACTGCAACCCTTGATGCACGAAACTTTACAGAAAGACAACACGAAGACTCACGAGGCCCAGATGGCCTTGAGATTTATGGATACATAGTTCGAAGGTGGATTGGTCCTGAGCTCGGAATTTCTTGATTAGTCTCTGGCTCGATGCTTTGCCTGTATGTTTGAGGAATCGTGGGAGCTGGGAGCTTTTGAATGGTGATATGTAAGAGATGTAGTATCGGCTGAACTTAAGTCGCGTTATGAAGGCCTTTTCCTCTGGTGTTAGAGACTATCATTTCGATGCGATGTCTCTGACTCTTATTCTGAATCGTTTACGAGCTATGCAAGCAATACGATCACGAGTGTATCATAGCCCTTCTGAACTCTTCCTGAAGGTGATGAGGTTATCCAAGAGCCCCAGGCTCAGTCAGATTTGTGTCTTGTCTTTAACCCAAGAGCGCACACCTCACCCTGTTCTCACAAGGATCATCATCTTCGATCGTTTTTACTCTCATTATTCTCATTGTTTATCCAACCTCTCGTTCGTTAAGGTCTTTGGAAAACTGGATTCAACCACCCTATTTTATTGAAGCTTCCTCAAAGGTTTCGCCGCTGTCGTTCTTTTTCGGCTTAGGGAGGTGCGACTCAATATTTATAACATCTTTCTCGCTCAAAATTCTTTGATCCTAGGGGCAGATCGCGTTTTCAAATTCGTAAGCTGTGCGGCTCATCAGATCTTGAGGGTGTCTGCTCATCACACCTGTTTATCATTCCATATTAACCATCATTAGGTATCACTGTCCAGCGTATATACGATTCAACAAGTGGCAAGCGAGATCAATAAAAGACGACAGCATGCATATGTCACGCGCCTTTACTCTTCCGCTCAGCTTTCTCGTTGGCTATGCCATTGACTCTACCAAGGCAATGGAACTATTCCATGACGGGCAAGAGGTCGTGGGACTTTCGCACACTCAGGTGGCCTCCAAAACTTCGGCACTAGACCTTCATGGAATAGACCAATTTAATTGTCTCCATCGTAGAGGCCTAGCTGCAGGACGCTTGAGGTTAAGACGACGATGTCAAAACCCGTTGTCCGAAGACTTCCATCATGCACCTCAAGTTCATCATGCAGATCATCCACCCGATGATGTAATCAACACTGGAAGAGAAAAGGCTGCCCCACCACCCGACAAATTTGTCGAAACGGATCCTGGATTCGAAGTTCGATCTTTCACAGTTTTCTAATTGTCTTGGAACAAATGACTTATCTTTCTTCGTGTGACATTTTTAGATGGGTATAACACGATTTTCTCGAACAATCAAGGACGCTTTTGCAAAAATGAAGAACTATTTCAATCGAAATGAAGTACATGCTGCCAATGGTATGTCTGTTGTCTGTTTTTTAGGAAGTTTTCATTAACAACATCCTTCCTTTAGACGAATCTATACCTTCGATCGCTGAGAAGGGCGAACATAAGCCTGGTAAGGCCCTTTTGATATACGCGCAGATACCTTGCTTCTACATTCACTCTCGCTAACCATCACAACTTTGGTTTTTTTGCGCCAATAGAGCTACCACCCAAGGTCTGTAACAGTCACTGCAGCTTCTTCCAACCTCCTGAAGCTCGAAAGGTTTACTAGTAGTTCTTCAACGTTTTTGACGCGGATTTCTCTATTCCACATCACAGAAGGTTACGGAGAAGATCTACGGAGGTTTAGCTCGCTTTTTCAAGTTTCTAACCAAGGACCGAGCGCCAGACGGAGTCTTACTGGCTAGTGGTAAAAAAGGTGAATTTCAAGTGCCGACTCTCACAGCGCAGTTCTCACTGGCAATCTCTGACGGCTCTGTATTTTTGTCACGTCTATCGGTCAGGCGAAATTCCTTTTTGGGCGCTCTCAAAATACACGGAGCCTTGGAAGGAGATGGAGAAGTCTATAGACGAGATGCAAGACGGGCTCGGACGCTGTGAGTTTTTGTCGCCCTAGCTTGAAGCTACAATTCCAACTTGGAAGTAACTCCATAAATTCCATCGTTTCTTCTCTAGTGTCTCTGGAAGTGCTAGGCACGCAAATGCGCGCTTCGCAAGATAGTGAGCTTTCAGAGCTCGGTGTCAAACTCTTGAGCGACCCCCTCGTGGCCGCGGATGAGATCATAAGATGGGCCACGAACGTACTCTCACACTCGCCCAAACCCAACGAAGCGATGACAACGCTGATGCGTGAAAAGCTGATAGTCAGTGTGAAGGCACTTTACGTTTACGCACACGGGCCCTCAGGGTCCTTGGCTACTGAAAGGGCTCGTACCGTTCTTGCGATTGAAAACAAAGCATATAACAATGATCCAAGTCGCACGGGACCAGGAATAGCTAAATATCTCCAGGCAGCTTCTAAATCCACGGATTCTAAGCCGAAAATGATTCCCGTGGATCCCAAGCTCCAGGCGAAACTCATCTATGGTCAGTTGATTTTGAAAGCCTATTCACTCTCATGCCTGCAAATTTAGCATTCTGACGTCATCGATATTCCGCAACAGCGAACCGAGAGGACCTTTATCAAACACTCAAATCCCGGGTCGCGCAAGGAGTCGAGATGCCAAACGAGATTAATATTGGTACCATCATCGACTTGTCCGCGGCATCCATCAACGAAGCAAAGTATGAGTTTACTGCAACGCACCCTATCCCGGAAGAGCAGTTAGCAAAGATCCACGAGAATGCGAATTGGGGACTTCAAACCCTTTTTTACCTTTTCCTACAAGATAACGATCATGCCACCAGAACCATAGAGCTCCTTTACCAAGACTGGATGAGGTCTGGGGCGCACATCACGGGTGGATTCGGCGAAGATTTGGTGGCTGCACATAATCTGGTCAAGAATGCAAAGTCTGCAGACTGGTTGGCCAACGTTCAAAGGATTTCACTGCCAGACCGTCTTGCCAAACGTGAGTTGCAGAAGAATCTCCCTCTTGTCCATTTCTTTGTCCGCCCACTTCTCACACGAGATACAAGTATGACCTGGTACAAGATGAAGACTTCTTGAGAATGATCATCAAATCGCATGCAGGTTGCTAACATGTTTTGTCTTTTCGATTTGCTCAATCGACGGTTAGTCGAACCCAAGGACTGGTTAAACAGATTTGACAAGAGTGAATCCCCTCAGGTCAAGCAGGAATTTACCAAGATGAGCGAGGTATCAACACATACAAACTCGCCATTTGAGCTATTCAAAGGCATCATTCTTTGGGCAGGCAAAAAGATCGATCCACTTGAACAGACTACGAGGCACAAACAAGATGATATTCTTCTTGCTATTGAGACGCTCGTGACTCACGCTTGGAATGAAGACGAGAAAACAGCCCAGCTTGCGAAACTACAATTGACAACAGCCATGTCTCACTCCTCAGAAGAACACGATGCAGTTACTACCGCACTCACTAAGCAAGCTTATGAGATCGTCACACAGGCAAAAACACGTCCCAGCTGGGTTGGCTTCGAAGAAGCATTGAAGGAAAAGACGGAACCAGTCTTAGCTTATCCGGTACCACCCCATCCTCAACCTGAATCACCATCGTCATCTTCTTCATCTTCACGTGCTGAATAAGACAGGTTGGGATAAAGACTTGATGATGTCAAACTTCGCTTCGAGTCCATTTCTATATCTATTTTTTGTATCTATTTTTTGGTTCATCTCTGGTGACCTTTGCATGCTATCTCATACATTTGCTCTTGTTGGATGCTGCCAAGTACACATTCATTTGCCAAAATTTTACAAATCTGTCTACAAGGTCACTTATATCATGAGGATCGAGTGTCTTGTACATGAGTACATAATTCTTCAGCTCGGGAGTCGGGACCTGGGGAGTTAGCGGCCCAGGCAGCCCTTGATTGTCGAAAGCTTGACATCAGCTACATTTCATAAAGTTTGTCGGAAAGCCTGTGTCAATATTATGGGAGCCAACAGTGTAAATCGTTTGCGACAATCAGCATGGGAGATGCGATTTTATTGTATGGGCTAACCGAGGCTAACCGTCGCACTTTGTGACGAGGTTCATGTGATGCATTGTGACTTCTACAATGCGGGTTTACATTGACACAAACAGGGCTCTGAAGGTTGCAAGCTGATATTACATAAAGTAGATAGACAGATATCAAATACATCTTGCATGGTGTACAGCGGATTGGACTGGGAAACGATTCCACGCCATTTTGCTCGGCGTTTCTGAGATCAAAGACATTATGCATACAAAGGTAATCCGAGTCTCAGTTCATCAACGCATACGGTGTTTAAATGATCAATAAACCTGTGGGGATGCGGAGGAGAACGATATGTTAGTTGACCTGAGCAATACAAAAGTCAAGGATATCTGAGGAAACAGTGGAGGAAGTTGTGAAGGTTCAGTAGGATCAATTGGAAATATATAAACGATGTGTGTCATCTATAAGGTGATATGTATATCTAGCCTCTATGGATGTTAACGATTCTTCATCATGAAGTATTTACGATGAAGAAGGATAGGACAGGATGGAAGTTTACCTGAAGGCCATAGTGTGATTGTCATGTTCAGCCGATTGTTGCCGTGCTGCCGAGACCATTGATGGGTTGGACGGCTGAACCAGAGTCGTATTTCAAGTTCGAATGAAACCTGTCTCATCAAGTTAGCCCTAGAATTCATTGAATCTGTGTTTTGTGACATTCTCTGGTCGTTAGGGTTAGAATTCATGATCTAGACTCTAGAGGGTGACGAGCGATGTCGTCATTCTGGACGTCGTCAGTTTGAGTGGTTGACTTGGTGTCATTATGTCTGACTCTCGTGAAACATCGAAGAGTTGGACGGTAATATTAATTCCGATGTCACTGTAAACTCATCAAATTATCAAAGATAGCTTCCGAGATCAGCTTGATCGATTTCCGCTTTCATGACCTCGATAAGACAAACCCGTTACCCAACTATGTTGGATGTGTTAGAAGGACTCCACTAAACTCTTGCAGAGCTTTTCAGGTGTACCGCCTTGTCGATGGCACAGTCAACTCACTCAGACTCATGATGAACCGATGACGGTCTATAAGAACTCGTGGAAGATGTTCATAATTTCCTCCCTACATTCCAACCAAGTTCTTTATCTTGACTTCATCGCTATCTTCAGATTTCAACCGATATCTGTATATATATATATATATCACAGGACATTTTTCATTCCATTTCTTGTAAAGCAAAAGCTTAAGATCGTTTTTATATCATTCTATCTGCTTAACTCAAGATAGCCTTCAATTGCCTACTATTTTATTTTATCTAGTCAATTCAAGTATAACCTTCAAGTTTGCTACAATTATGCGTTCCGTATTTTCTGCCTTTGTGATCGCATCAGTGTGCTTGTATAACTTGCAAGATGTTGCAGCCCAAGTAAACAACACACAATATACCGCACAACCTCAGACCAATGCTACTGCACAAACTCAAAACAATGGTTATACTTCGACTGGACAACAAAACAATGTAAATAATCCGACCAACTCATATCAGAACACTGGACAAAGTCAAAGCAGCGTATATCAAAACAAGGGACAAAATCTGGGTACAGGAAGTCAATATCAGACAACTGGCACGACAAACGGTGCCTACTCGGCTGGAGGCCAACCTACAATGGTTTCCTTGCAATGCACTCAAGGTTACATGCCTATCACAGAAGACGAATTGATGGCCATGAGCAACGATGCACAAAATGGAGCCGACGCCTCTGGAACTGTAACGTCCTCAGGCATTGGCGGCGGATCAACTGCTGGATATGGAAGCGGATCCTCTTACGGAAATGGGGCCAATGGCGTTAGCCCACAACTCAGTTCTAGATCACTTCCTAATCAAAGCACCGGAGGCGGATCATATCAAAGCGGAAATCTTCAAACCGCTCAAACCAACCAAAACACACAGTACGCGAATAACGGAGACTCTCAGTACGGCAATAACGGAAACTCTCAGTACGGCAATAACGGAAACTCTCAGTACGGCAATAACGGAAACTCTCAGTACGGCAATAACGGAAACTCTCAGTACGGCAATAACGGAAACTCTCAGTACAACAATAACGGAAACTCTCAGTACAACAATAACGGAAACTCTCAGTACGGCAATAACGGAAACTCTCAGTACGGCAATAACGGAGACTCTCAGTACGGCAATAACGGAAACTCTCAGTACGGCAATAACGGATACTCTCAGTACGGCAATGATGGAAACACTCAATACGGCAATAACGGAAACACTCAAAGCACCATGGCCCCAGCTCGTAAGTTATACCATCCCTCGACTGTTTGAGTTCGAAGTCTTTCCCGGACCGACAAGCTGATCGTTACGCAAAATCTTCTGGTCTTACAGAGGCCATTTGCGCCGGCAACGATGACGGGTCAAGTGGTTTATGTGACACCTCTACGTGCACTGGTGCGGCCAGTGAGTGAACCGGATTTACCTACATTTTATGCTGAAATTCTCTACATTTGTGATATCTCTATTATGGCAAGCTAATCCTTTTCGGATTATCTAGCATGCAAAATGTGTCAGCAACTCATAATCACCGATGCGAACAGCCCCCCACAAACAGACCCAAACATTGTTCAACAAGTTAACTGCCTTGGCAACTATTTCAAAGCCGGTCCAAATGACCAGGACCAAAGCAGCAGTGTGTCTCCCACTGCTTAGTGATTTCTGTCATCAGTGTTATCACTCAAAAACTAATCGTTTGTGAAATTATTTCTAAAAGTGTGCACAGACGCCAATCAAAATATGTTCACTTGTAAAGGAGGCTGCGTGGGGGAAATGAGTGAGTCGGGTTTTCTAGAGTCTTGTAATAAAGGGTTCATATTGTTGGTTGTATTGACTTTTTCGTCATTCATTTGTTTTCATCAGCCTGTGCAAGCTGTATTTCACAGCAAGATCCCGCGTTACAAGATGGTAATAGTGGACAACCAACTGGTACCCAGACTCAGAGTACTCAAACCGCAACTGCTCAGAATGGCGCTCAGAATGGCGCTCAGAACGGAGCTCAGAACGGAGCTCAGAACGGAGCTCAGAACGGAGCTTCTCTAGCTGACAACGTAATAAATCCTCAAACTGGCCTTCCAAATATCAACTAGATGCTACGTCTGGCTTCAACTCTCGAGTGTAGGAAGCTTAAAGCTTGGGAACAGCTGTGTTTAGGAATCGGGCGTCTTGATGACCAGTCATTGAGGCTAACTACCTCACATGGCTTACTGATGCTTTAATCACGATTCGGAAATGTCGTTGTGTCTCTGATTGCTTTATATCATTGTATGTCTCGGATTTGTATTTAGGACAATAGATATTTCTTCATCTTTCTTTGCAAAAAATATCGTTCACCACCTTAACAAATTATCCTTTACAATGCCATTCTGAAGACTCCTACTATTCTTCAGGACATGTAGGAATTTTTCCGTCAGTTGATATGTATTAAATCCTACGATCTTGGTAGCCAGCTACTAACCCACGAGTCCGCAGACCTCACCAAGCCCGGAGCAAGATTAAAACGTGTTCGATCGAACTTCAATACGCCTTCTTGCACATGTTATAACAGGCTCACAGCCAAGCTCCTCTGATCAAAAGTCATTCTGATCTTGGCAAAGTTGAGACCGCGAGTTGAGATGCATCTGAAACTCCATTCTCGAATGAAGAGCACACTGTTCACCGACTCGTTCTGGCAAGAATGCGATCGCCTTTCTGATCATCCACCGTCAAGTCACAAATTCAAGCCAAGCACCCGACCGCAGCTTTAAAGCAGTCGGTGGCAGACTAGTCTAAGAAACTGATTCCGCTCATCTAGAAATCTCCACAAGGTACACGAAATTCCTTAGCCTTTCGCACTCATGCTCAATCTTGTAATGTACACTCGTGTACGAATTGGAGCCCTCATATAAATGGAGACGCAGTCGTTCATGCTACCATCGAACGGCAAAGTCAATATGCTTAACGAGTTACATGACTTCGAAACTCTTCATCAAATCCTGATGCGTCAAACCCTCATAGCCACACTTTACGATATGATGCAGACGCAGCTAGGCTCTGATCTATAAAAACCAGCTCTTGCCAGCTAGAACAACTTCCCTTCATCAAATCCCGATCCAAACGTTCTTTACAAGCCTCATTTTCAGTCGCTCTGATATTATCATACCTTTAGTCAGATTCAACTATCACATCTTCCTTCCACACGCATCAAATCCTCGAATTAAACACCCTCCTATCCTATCCAAGCAAGATCATCATGCGTTCATTCCTTTCTACCCTTGTATTCGTGGCAGTGTGTGCTTACTCAGCCCGTGCTGATGCCCCTGCTAGCCCAGCAAACAGCCCAGCGGGTGCCCAACCAAAGATCGTTACCATGAAATGTAGTCAAGCTTTCATGCCTATCTCTGAAGCCGACCTGGCGGCCATGAACTCGACTGACCCTACGCAAGCTCCAGCAGGAAACTGTAAGTTCAACAAGTTCTGATTTATAAGGCTATGGTATTCAAGTAGATCGCAAGACCTTACATCTGTTTATTTCTCCACCAGACTCGACTGTTCCCACAGAGGCAGCTTGCAAAGCCTTCGATGATCCCACTGGTGGGTTCTGCAACCCCAAGTCTTGCGTTGGCTACCCAGGTTCGTACTTACAAGCATAAGTGGCGATCGCAGCTCAAGGTACTAACAAGTGCGAAAAAAACAGTGGGCGAGCAATGCAATGAAGTGATCATTACAGGTGCCAATAGCACTAGTCTTTCTAACACTACTGTCGCTCGTGTGTCCTGCGAAGTCAATTACTTCAAGCCTGCGCCCAACGATGCCGACCAACGAGTTCGTAAGTAAATTTCTAGCTCTCTCTTTGTGAAGTACGGACACCACTAATTTTCCATCGTTTTACAAAGTCTGCACTGCCCAAGATCAGAAGATCTACAGCTGCAAGGGTAAATGCGCAGGCGAAGCCAGTGAGTTACAACTTCCTTGAACATGACTTCCCTTGAACAGAATCTGATGGTGCTCCTCGTTTTTTTTGCCAGCCTGCACTGAATGGTGAGTCACTGATTGGGTTTTGACAGATGTCTTCTTACCAATATTCTGACGAGGTTCCGTTATTTGTGCATTCAGTGTCAGCATGAGCGATCCAGCTCTCGCAAACTTGTAGGCCTTCGTTGGTTCATCAGATAGGTCATAGACGACGAGATCTGGGCCATGGAGGTCTAGTTGGGAAACTCTTTCACGATTTTTGTTCATTTCCTTCACAATAGTACGCTTTTGAAGCCAGCGTGTAAAGCCTATTGTTTACATTATGACTTCCAAGGATGAACTACAAATAGATGTGACTACACTGCTGCTTACTTAGCATGAAAAGCACTATCGATCTGAACACCCATTCCTTGGGCATTTTCGTATCTTATCACCTTTCTCTTATCTCTTGTTGGAAGCAATTAGTCAATTTAACTTCAAGGATCACCCTTTACTGGGTCTTCTCATGGTATAAATCGAGTTCCCGCCTCTTAAATTGACTGTCCTTGATCAAATTTGTCCGTTCAATCTACGATATCACCCTCACTCACATTCTACAATGACCCTTAAGGGAAATCTGCACTTTTTATGTGACATTCTGAGAAACTACAGCTATTCAAGAAAATGTCACGGTCATACTTTTTTTCCCGTTTTACCCCAATTGCCACACACAAATACAGCTGATGCAGAGCGCAGCCAAGCTGTACAGGACCATCAATTTGATCAACCCCAAATCCCAACTTGGCTGTCAACCTACCTCCAATTCTGTGCTCTCTATCAAAGATGCTCATGCCCCTTGATCCCATACCCCCTTGGTTTGTCATCACCTCAGCCCACCTCCTCCTTACTCCTGTTCTTACTTTCAATTCCAAATCACAGGGCCAAATCACTGCCCTCTGGCCACCCAGAGCAGTCCCATACACCCACAAAACTTCTGTCAAAACTGTGCTTTTTCTTTAAGCCACCAGGTGTTTGTATGGAAGAGCAGTGGGGGTCAATCCTGTATAGTCCAAATGACATTCAGCCATCTTTAATTCACCCAAGTATTGATGTGCATATAGTGTGGTAGGTTGAAGAGGCTCATAGAAGTCCCAACAATTGGATACATCTTGGTTGACATACATTCAGAATTGTCAGGAGCCCTAAGGAGAGCACTATCCAAGCTTGAAATCCTCAGTCATCAGCTGGAGTCACTTGGTGTAGAACTTATAACCCAACAAGGTCTATACAGAGCATGAAGGGGATAATCTACCAATAAAAGACTAGTAGAAGATGTCTACGGACTGCCCTCCTAAAACAAGACAATCAGAAAGGGGAACTCTGCTGTGAGTACTGATAAGTATCAAAAGAGAAAATCAACTTGATTTAATTCTTGATGGACTAAATCCATGTTTTTTTAGATGAAAAGCACCATTTTAATTGACTGTCAACACTTATAGTGTTATTACAGACTGAGAACTAAAGAAAAATAGTGCAATATCCTTTTGATATTATTCTCAAAAGACTTTATAAGTCAAAACACTACAACACTAAAGTAAATTTCTCTTTGTAGCTATAATAAAGGGCATATTTAAGTGACCAGGTACTATTAAAATACATTTAGGATGATCAAAAAATGATAATGTTGTAAATGATGAAGAAAAAAGGGGGAAATCAACACCCAAATCCTTCATTTGGTAATGTATCACACCAATACAATGATTAACAAATTCAAAAATCAACAAAAACCCTCTGATATAACCTTATGATGTCATTATTATTATGGTTTTCCGTGATTAAAGCTGTGAGCTGGATCAATTGATGTTAATAAATGATGAACTGATCTTCTTATGATGAATACAGGTGATTTGTTCCTAATATTCATGGCTGAAAACCATTTTTAGAATCACAGATTTTTTGTAAAGTTATTCAATTTTGGATTACTATAGCTCCTTTGATAGCTCCCTTGATACTGATCATTTATTGCCCCAATATGACCTATCTCGTATCAGTGATGAAGAAGTTATTGAGCTGTAGAGATTCAGAAAATAAGCTTTTTGTCATGTAAATTTTGCTAAATGTGTGTATGTAAGCTCAGGTTGTGGGTGTGTTTTTTGTTTTGTCTTGCGCTGAGGCGCAACTTGGCGCACCAGGCGCATTTTTTGCAAAGCAAAATTTTCAAGAGCCAAGATGTTGTTTTTTGTCAATACTTTTTCTAATTTTGAAGTTGCTGGAGCCATCTACCAAAACACTTTTGCCATGTAAAGTTGAGCAAGAGATGTCTTTGGGGTTCCTCGTTAGTATACAAGTCCTACTGCTGATGTCAACAACTCTAATATTGGTGACAGGACATAGGATTCCCTAGATTTGATGTGATTTTCAAAAAGGTGTGCTGAACCCCCAATTTCCCAAATTTTCTGACTCCCAGGCACACCCAACACACTTTTTTTGTGCTGCACCAACAACCTGAATGTAAGCACAAAATTTGAAACTCACACCATTTTCTTTGTATCCTTATATCTTTTTCACTACTCCTCTGTTACTATTGATTTAAATGTTGTACATTATGAAAAAATGTATTGCACATCAAATGAAATATCAATAATCCTGATCTGACAAGTCTTGACATATGTAATTAGCTGAAAAACCTCCAATTTCAATGGATTTTGACCATTTTCAACACATTTCTCACCTAATATTGATTTCTCTTCTATGAAAAGATCATCCTTGTTATGGACAGACTTGGGGGTTTTCGGCGACGAGGGTCAAGGGAGTTCTGGTGAGGATTTGTATCTATTACCAGTCTTCCTATGTGGATTGTCGGATGAGGGAAAATCTGTACAGGCAATGTATCTACAACTATAAGATGGTTCTCGAGCTTGTGACATGTAATGTGAATATGTCACTCAAGTGAAATAGAACCAGTTCATAACATTATCCCCCCTTTAATGCCCAAGCTTCCTCTTGCAAGCTCTGCATTCTTTCCACGGGCTGCGTTAAAAAACCCAGTGGGAAAAAGCATAGCCCTCTCACTTCTTCCGCCTTCTCCTTTTGTACTTATTTGTTGCGTCGGGATATTTTAAATTAAACTCATTAACTAAATCTTGACTATTCTTGAGGTTGATTTCGGGTTCCCATGAATTGTTTTCCTTGCCAAATCCTTTCCAACTCACAAAGTATTCCTTCTTGTTGTACCTTCTTCTACAATCTAGTATCTCGTTGACTTCCCATTCTTCTTCATCCTGTATTATGATTGGTTCGACTGGGGGTTGTTTTCGTTGATGTATTGTATCCGGGTTATGTTTCCTGAGTACAGAGACATGAAATACAGGATGGACGCTTTTCATGGAAAGAGGGAGATTCAATTTATAAGTAGAATTTGATATCTTTTGGATAATGAAGAAAGGACCTAGCCATCTATTTTCTAATTTTGGGCTTGGCCTAGTTGTCGAAATGTTTCGTCCGTTCAACCAGACTTGGTCTCCTACTTCCCATCTTGGTGTTTGTTGTACTCTTTTGTCAAATTGTTCTTTCATCTTCTCTTGAGTTAATTCTAAACATTGATTTAATTCAGATTGCACTTCGGCGAGTGTTTGCATCCTCTTCTCTACTGCTGGCACACACTGTTCAGCTGATGGTACTTTGTTGAATGATGGGTTAAATCCATAGTTAGCTTTAAACGGTGAAATGCCCGTGGATTCATGGTCTTTGTTGTTATACGAGAACTCAGCTGTGGGCAGTAGACTTTCCCAATCGTCTTGTCGATATTTAACGAAATGTCGTAAATATTGTTCGATTACTTTATTGACGATCTCGCTTTGACCGTCTGTACGTGGGTGGAAAGCGGTTGACGGGTGAAGGCGTATACCTAGGCGTTTGTCAATTTCTTCCGTGATCTGTGAAATGAAAATACTACCCCTATCTGAGATTATCGTCTTGGGAGTTCCATGAAGCTTCCATACGTTCTTCATCATGAGATCTGCTAGGTCTTCAGCCGACATTGATTCAGTACAAGCAATGAAATGACTCATTTTCGTTAATCTATCCACCACGGTTAATATGCTGTCGTAGCCGTTTGATGCAGGGAGGCCGGTGATAAGGTCATATGAGATATCCGTCCACGGGCCAGCCGGTATCGGTAATGGCTCCAGAGTCCCAAAGGGTTTCTGTGTGGTTGATTTAACCCTTAGACAAGAGTCACAACCGTCCACGTACCTGTTGACGTACGCTTTCTGAGATGGCCAGATGAAGCTTCTCCTGACCAATCCGAGAGTCTTTGCTCGACCTGGGTGGCCCGCAAGCAATGAGTCGTGTCTGCTTCTTAGTATTGAGTATTTGATGTCGTCGACGTCCGGTACCTCTATTCTACCTTGGTTGTAGAGGATACCATCTTGTACTTTGTAATGCTTCAAAGCTGCTTTCGTCTTGGCTGATATCGGGTTCAAGGTTGCGTTCATCAGTTCCCCTATCCTGTCACACTCTTTGCTTGCGTCTCTGATTCGTTGTATAATTTGATCATCCGTAGGAATGTCCGGTGCCTTAGTGTCAGTTTCAGCGATGCCCAATACATCCACCTCAAACCAGTGCTCAGAATTGTCGAGTGCAACCACTTCATCTTCGAAGAACCCCTCTACGCTAGCAAGCTCGACCGGGAACGTGTCTGGGCCGATGTTTTCGGGTCTTAACAACTGGCCAAAGGTCAATTTTTCCTCGTTAGTAGGCGCCAGGTCCGGTCTTCTAGATAAGGCATCTGGTTTGGTAGCTTTACTGCCGGGTCGGAATTTAATCACGAAATCGAAACAGCCCAGTGTCTCCGCCCATCGAGCCTGTCTGCGGGTAAGCTGCTTGGTTGTCATGAAAGACTCCAGGTTACGATGGTCCGTGTAGACTATCACATCTAGGCGGTTGGGGTTTCCCTCCAGGTAGTGGCGCCACTCTTTGAAAGACGCGACAATCGCCAGTAGTTCCTTATCAAAGATCTCGTAGTTCCTTTCAGCTTGGACTAGTGATCTGGACAGGTAAGCTACTGGGTGGAGTTCTCCATCGTCCTCGCTGCGTTGTGATAGCACTGCTCCTAATGCAAAATCGGAGCAGTCACATTCCAGAGTAAACGGCTTGTATGGATCGGCTATCTTCAGTACGGGTGCGGTGGTGAAGGAGGTCTTCAGGCTCTCAAAGGCTTTTTCGCATTTTTCATCCCAGACATAGTGCGTGTTGAGCTTGGTCAGATTATGAAGTGGTCTTGTGGTTCTTGAAAATTGGTTGATGAAACGTCGGTAAAAATTGGCGAATCCAATGAAGCGTTGGAGTTCAGATACTGATTGGGGTGCTGGCCATTCTTTGACGGCTTTCACTTTCGTCGGGTCCATTCTGATTTTATTCTTAGAGATAATAAGGCCAAGGTATTCAATTTCCTTCTTCGAGAACTCGCATTTTTCGGGTTTCAGCCAGAGTGTATGCTTGGATAGGACGTCAAGTACGCCATCAACAGCGCCTTCGTGATCTACTTTAG